CTGTGCAGGTAGAACAGCTTCAGGTACCAGTAGTCCCATTAGTAACTAGTGACATGACTGAACCAGTTTGATTTGCAAGAGAAGAGTCAGTTAAAATAGAGAATTTAAGGAAATCAAATTATGGCCTATCTTTTAGCCAGTGTCCTGACTTCAAAAATAACTTGCTAAAAAGCCAAAGGCAGAGGTGAGAGAGGTTGAAAACTTCCTTCCTGGCTTTGTCCGTGGCGGATTTGGGAGTGCCCCCATCTAACTACAGTCCAGATAGCACCTTTGTCCTTCAGGATAGTTCACGCTGCCTTTTTGCATCAAGTGGAAATAGGAGTAAGGTTGCCTGGGGTCTTACTGTAGTTGCTGTAGTCACACAACTGGTTTTGGGGACAAGTCAGAATTCTAGTTATAAAGTGATGCTTGTTCTGTGGAGGCGAAAGCTACTAGAAGTTGCTCCAGTTATAAAGCAGGTTTTTCCATCAAATAGTCTTGTGGGGTGTGTGTGTGGTTGTTTTTAAGTAACGTTTTGACAGGTTGATTCAATCTGCATCTGAACCCTAGCACTGGCATCTGTTTTGGCTTGTCATAGCAATAGTGAAATTGGAGATGCCTTTTTTGCTGCTATCAACTTGGCAGGATGTAGCCTCCAGCCAGGTGAGTAGGTAGAGTTGTGAGGTATGCAGAGAGGGGGGAAAAAACAAACACAAAACTTCTCTTAAGCAGAGAAGGAATATAGACTGCACCTGCGGATTGACACTTAGCAGTGGGCTCTGCTTGATGGTGAAAGGATTGGATTTTACTGCAGTCTTAGTTGTTCACACATCTGCCTTTTTTCTCTCTGCTCTTTCAATAGACCAAACTGTTTCTTTTTCATTAATTCCCCTGATAACAGGCATCAGTAGTAAACCTACTGCATTAATACAGTCTCAGTTCAGTGTTGTTAGGCTTACTGCTTTGTGAAAGGCATTTGGACCCTCTGTCTCCAGCTGTTTGCATAGAACACCCATTCAATGCCATACTTAGCTGCTTCACCTTACTGAGGGCAAAGCAGTTTGTTTAATTTTGGGAGTTGCTAGAGGGGGACATCCTGATGCCAATGTTGTGGTGCCAGACGTGCTGTCCCTGCTCAGCGGGGAATACCTAGAGAAAACCCCAACCTAACATCCTCAGCCACTAGGTGCCAGCCTTCTGCTGCGGAAGCTGTTCTCGCTCTTCCAGGAGTTAGGATGTTGCAGGCAAGGTAGGCTCTGGCATTTTAAAAGCTTGTTGCACTTCCAATTATCTGTCAACACATGAAATTATTTTCAGCAGCTGAATGTGAGGTGTAGTGGTTTGGGGGCCAGTCTGGCTGTTTGCAGGGGTCAGGCCATTCCAAACATTAATAAAATTGTGGAGTTAATGTAAGGGATTTAAATTCAGGAGAGGCTTTGTGGTGGGATTTCTTATTCTGTCTGTTCCTCTGGGGTTGGTGGAGACTCTTTTCCTAGTTAAGCAGCTTTTCATAATAAGTCCCTTCTGACCTGGATCCAGAAGTTCCTGTGCAAGCTTTGAATCTGGGGTGCACTTCCTGTAGCTAAGTTTGGTGAATGGCAGATGTTCTTGCCAACTTTGTACCTCAAAAATGGAGAAGCAAGTAATAAAAAAAGCATACATAAATCTGCATCTTTGAATGGAAAGATTACTGAGTGCTGCAGAGTAGTTCAACAACCTTGCAATGGTGACACTGCAGTTTGGTCCTCTCTTGGTAGGTCAAAGGAAGACTCCTTTAACTTATTTGGCAGGGGTTCTGAGGGAACATGCTACCATCTACCCTAAAGTCCCTTGGCAGAGCATGCTGTCTGTGCATAGTAACCTCAGTTTGACAAATATGCCCCTCATCTCCCATAGGAGATGCCTCTGTTTAGTTGAGTTGTGTCCTTTGGATTCAATAAACCCCCCTGGGCCTGCAGGCTGGTGTCACCAAGGTGCTTAACCAGTCCTAGTGCAAGGGCATTAGTCTAGGACATCTGCACTGTAGGAGAAGAATTGGTAACAAACTTTAAATATAGAAAACTCTACCCATAGTCTTGCTAGAAGTTAGCAGTAGAAAATGTTGGCAGTCATTTCAGATATTTCTGGTATTTTAAAAATTCTCTTTTGAGAGAAATTACAAGCTGTCTAAACTTTGGTATATCCACTGTATAAGTCAAAAACCATAACTGGGCAAGGAGGCAATCCTGCCTGTTGCAGTGAATGGAGTATTTAACCATGAGAGGCTCCAGTGGGAGATGTGGGAGGAAGGGAAGTGCTCCTAGATGAGCTCCTCAAGTAGTGGCCAGTGCTCTGTGGTGGTTACTTTCTACTCTTTTCTTTCCAGTGGTACATGAATGGGAATAGGTATTTCTCAGATCTGTGGAATGTCATGGATACTCTGGCAATCTTCTACTTCATATCAGGGATTGTATTTAGGTGAGTAGTATCTTTTCTTAGGGTCACTATGTGGTTTTCTTTCTGGGTTTTGACTACAGCCTCTAGATACTGAGAAATGATGTCTTTATTAAACTCTAGGAAGAAACTGACTGTTCTTTATGAAGGCCACAAACACTACTAAGCCTTGACACTAAATCTTATTATAAAGGTTTTTTTCCTGTTGAGTTAATAGAAGCTTAAGTCCCTATCTGTACTCAGAGGAAGCTTCCCTAAGTGTACATTTTCTTGGGCCAGCAGGACAGCCCTTCTTAATATTAGCTTTGCAGGAGCATTTTGTCAAAGAGGTGATGAAACGTTGTTAGATTTTGTCATTTCTTTTAAGACTATATGGCCATAGAGAGTTCTTGAGACCAAGTTACAGGGGATGGCAAGATCTCAAAGTCAGAAATTCTATGGGATTTCCCCTGTCTCCTCTTACTGACTATTTAGTGTGGGTGATACAACACACCAAAGCTGAAAGAGCCTGTGTTTAAGGGGGACTGCAATTTCATCTCTAATATTATAGCAGAATCTCATAACTCCTCTGAGTTGCGAGTTAGCAGTGACAGACATGGTGGAAATGCATTTTACAGCATAATCGTTCAGTCAGCTGTAACTTGGTTCTTGTTGCCTTGATGCAGTGGAGTGGTCATTGCGCTGTGGTGTTTCTGGAGGGCTAGAGGAGTAGCTAGAACTATAAGATTTCCTTGCTGCTAGTAGTTCAGGAAGGAGAGGGGAGACAAAGCAGTGATTTAGCTGAGATGGGGTGTGTGTAAACACTCTGCAGATTAACCAGTTTAACCACATGTCATGGATGGGAGTGGGAGGGTGAGGGGATGGGGCCTTGAGGATCTGTGCCCTGTTTCTCAGTTACTTTCTGCATCCCAGGGACTATTTCAGTTTATTTTTGCCTTTTGTGTGCTTTGCCAGGCATTTCTCTTCATTACCCTTCTTTTTTCTTTTTTTTTTCTTTTTTTTCCTTTTTTTTTTTTCTCTTTCCACTAGGCTTCGTTCATCCAATGAAAGTTCTTGGTATACTGGCAGAGTCATTTTCTGTTTGGACTACATAGTTTTTACTCTGAGGCTGATCCATATTTTCACAGTTAGCAGGAACCTTGGACCCAAAATTATTATGCTGCAGAGGATGGTAAGACTCTGGCAATCATTCAATAGAGTCTAAATAAATGATGTGATGCCTTGTTTTTCCTCCAGAGTGAAATTCAGCACTATTCTGATGATGGCAGCAAGTTCTCTCCTTCTCTTAAATCCGTTAAACAGGATTAATTAAGATTTTAATAGGACCTAATTAAGAGCACAGCTTTTTTTCTTTTTCTGTGCACAGGGTTGCATTTCATTCTGAATGAAGATCAGGCTGGATAATAGGAAAGAAATTTACTTCCCATTAGCTTTTGTCTCAAGTCTCTCAAATGTTTCACTTGTATATTCAGTTACTTATTTGTTACTCACACGAGCATTCCCTGAACCAAGAAGCAATGACAAATCATAGGAGAAGGAATCTTCTCTTTTATCACATCAGCCATGTAAAGAATTAGAGATGCTGGTGCTGAGAAACCTCTGTGTGGAGTAACGTGGCTGATTCTGACCTTCACACTGTGGGCAATTGTTTCTGAGCAGACTTCGAAAGGGTAGAGAAGAACATGGAGTTACAGACAATGCAAGGCAAAGTGTGGCAAGGTGCAGCTTGCCCTTGGTGTTGTGCAGAAGGGGTCCGTTCAGGAAGCTGGGGATGGTCTTCAGTCCAGCAATGCTCCTGCATACACATATGCTTATACTCCAAGAAAAGCACTCTGGAGCACCCTGAACAGGGGGAGTGTTTGGGGAATGACACAGAGCAGGTGAAGGAGTATTTTTAAAAACATTTAAGAAAAGTTCTCCTTTTCTTTCTTGCTTTCTTCTCCTCCCCATTTGTACACACGGAATTTAAAAAATATGTGGGGACAGTGGGAGTATTAACCTGGACTGCAGCTTTTCCAGAAAGCTGCTGTTTTGTTTTGTACCACTGTTGTAAAGTAGAAATCTAGAAATTATATGTGTCTAGAGTACCTTATGATGAGGAAGCAACAACACAAGATGCTGTTGTATATTTGTCTTTTGGCCTATTTCAAAAGAGAGAAGGAGCTGGTTAGGTCTAATAAAACTGTGGCAGAAGCTTTCAGAAGTGGCAGATGCTTTCACCTGGTGGTCAACTGCCAGGTCTGCAGCCATAGTTTTATCTATGTAAATAGTCTCCACGTGGATCTGGTGGGTAGAGTCTGTCTGTCTGCCGGTGGGATATCCTGTGTTCTGAAAGGTGCCATATTCTTAGGTTAGCTTAAATGATTTTGAAATTCCATGAAGGGGAATGGTCAACAGGGTGTATGTATGTGTTGGTGACCATAAGTCAATATACCAGTGATTTGAAAACCTGCGTTAAAATATTACTGGCCATGTTTTGGATATTTGTTTTCCCATATCAAATTAGGGAGGCCTGTGGCAGGGCTTGCAACAGGCACACAGTGCACTGATGTATTTGCTTTTTGTCTGTTCCCAGATGATAGATGTTTTCTTCTTCCTCTTCCTCTTTGCTGTGTGGATGGTGGCCTTCGGTGTGGCCAGGCAAGGCATCCTGAGGAAGAATGAGCACCGCTGGGAGTGGATATTTCGTTCTGTCATCTATGAACCGTACCTGGCTATGTTTGGCCAGTATCCTGATGATGTTGATGGTACCTGTCTTATCTGGGAAGCCCTCCTGGGAGGATGGAAGGCTCTATTCTTTCAGAAGTTGTCTAGTTATGTGCTTGCATGGGACGGGAATTTCTTCAGCTCTGGTGTTCATGGGATCAGCAGCTGAATGATGGCCTTTGAAATGGGGCCTGTCAAGAGAAATGGTTTCTCTTGTGCATCTGACGTAGTTTCTAACCTATTTAGCCCTCCTCTGTTGCAAGCTGTGTCTCTAGATGCTCCTCACAAACAGCCTTGCTCTCTCTTCACAGCTAAAATAGCCCTCCATATTTGAGTCACAGCATCTGTCCCAATATGGCATCTGCCCCAACTTTTTTGGCCTCTTCCCTCTAAGTAGCAGCAGGACAAAGTTTTACATCTGATAGGGAGGGCTGGAAGGAGGAGACAACATGCGTTATGCTTGGTTGGCTCGCAGTTTGCTATCCTCTCTCTCTCTCAGGTACCACCTACAACTTTGACCGCTGCACCTTCACTGGGAATGAGTCCAAGCCCTTGTGTGTGGAACTGGATGCCAACAACCAACCCCGCTTCCCAGAGTGGATAACAATCCCCCTCGTGTGCATTTACATGCTCTCAACTAACATCTTGCTCGTGAACCTGCTGGTGGCCATGTTTGGGTATGTCATGAAGGAGCCATCGTCTGCTTGTGGTCCCTCTGTTAAAAATCTGAGGAAGGGAACAGAGTCCTGAAAAGTTGCAGGAAGTTAGGCCTTGGACTCTACATGTGTCCTCAGCAGAGACTATGCTGCAACTAGGCTTGACAGGGCTCCCAGCTCAAAGGAGACCTCTGAGGTTAACGCTGGGGTGGGAAGGTGAACAAAAGCAAGATTAATCAGTACTTCTCATAGCAACCTGATCAAAATTAATAGTGTCCTGGGGATGGGTTGCTCTCTGACCTTTTACTGCTTCTATAAGCATCATTTGTACGCTGTTATCAGAGGACATTGAAATAAATGAGATTTGCCTCGCATGATTCAGTCATCCTTGTGTAGTAAGCCAAGAGCCTTTGTGTTGGAGAAGAAAAGCAGGTTTCTAAGATTTTTGGCTCTATGGCAAGCAAAAAAAATCACCTTTCTATGAGTTTGGAGCCCTGTTACATTCTAGTTTACATGTTAAGATATTTTACAGGCTTAGTTTTAAATGATAAACACTTAAATGGCTGTAGCCCATCACCACCTGAAGCACTATAGTTATACAAATATTGAAGAATATAATGAATGAAAAACCTGCCTTGATAGTGAGAAAGCTGTGATCACAAAATGTACCTCTCGTGACTCTTTGCCTGGGACAGCTTCAGGGAAGAGCTGTTGGCTTGACCCTGCTGAGACAGGCTTGCTGGTATAATGGGTATTTTTGACAGGAAATTGGAAATCAATGGTTTGTGTGTTTGTGATACAGTGTGGCATCTTCAGATTCTTCGCTAATATTAGCAGACTTGGAGGGACTTGCTGGAGTGAAAGGTCCTTTATGCTTAAGGTGTTAGATTGATACTGAGAAGTTATTTCTAACATACAAGTATTGTGAAAGAATATTTGAGCTAGTTGTTTCAAGTACCTTTTTGCCCACAAGCCCAGGTAACATGCTTAGCTTTAAAAGTACACAGCTGTCTAATAGCATCTCCTTGGATAGTTTTTAGACACATGCATCTTTATCTGGCCTGGTTCCATGGTCATAGAGTTTGAGGATGGTAATGAACCAGTTCAGACCTTTCTAGGTCAGAAAGCTGATGGACATGAGAAAAAATCTTCAAGAGTGGTAGAGATGAAGTCTGTGAACTTGAATGCTTGCAAGTCGTGTCTTCTCTTGTCTTCTAACTAGTGCAGCAAAGCCCTCGTGGTGCCTTACAGCTCAGGTGGGGGTTCGGCAGCGCAAGCAGTAGCTTAGTTCTCCTAGGCTATCTGTCTTCACTGTGCTCTACCCAATTTTACATCTTCTGATTCCCAGACTTTTTTCCTCCCCCACCCCCCCTTTTTTTTGGCCTTCTCCCATCAACTTTTTCTTAGTCAAATTGACCTTCCTGTTATTTATTTCCATGCATTTTTAATAGTCCTTTTCTGGTTTTATGTTATGACAGAGTTGTTATGGAGTGAAATATCTGCTTCAGTATAAAGTCCTTTTCTGGTTTTATGTTATGATAGAGTTATGGAGTGAAATATCTGCTTCAGTACAGTGACCACTGGAATACATGTATGCAGTGAGCGTGAGACTTGAAAGGTTTGTTCATTCTGCAGCATCAGCTGCATTTGTAACCTTTGGATCAGGCCTGCCAAAGAGAGGATTTTCCTCCTTCCACTTTGAAGAAAATGCTTGGATCAGCCATGCTCCAATATGCAGTTCAACACGCTTGCTGGCTGCAGAAGAAATGGAAAGTAGACATGTGCAAACCATCTGCCTATAAACACAGCCCTAGATGATGAATGATTAGCTATATGATATTGGCTGCTGATTCCAGGCCCAGCAGCAGTAATCCTGGAAGGTCACCGACCATGTGTTTGCAAGGCAAAGTAAAACAAATTTGCTTTACACGTTAAGTCAAGGGACATACATGATTCATTTACTTTGCATTGAATCAATCTACGAACACATGCATGCACAAGCAGCTGGGAGTACTTCTACACTGCTGTCATGTAAATGTCCACAAAACACTGAAATGTGCGTTCCTTTAGGAAGGACGAACACACCAAGATGCCTCCATCTTGTTGGCAAAGCTCTGCATGACTGTGATTTGCTTTCCCTGCTTGGAGGTGTTCTCCATGTCTCTGCTGGGCTTTGTCCAAAGCCCTGTGGTTTGCACAGGGGGTGATGTCTGGGTCACTGCTTTATGAAGCATGAGTTTCTGCACAACTGACCTTGCTGTTAGACTGAATGGAATTACTGCTGCCGTCTTTTTTATGACATTATAGTTTCATTAACCAGAACTGCTGCTTGGTCATGATGGGTACTGAGGCTTTGGTGTGTTACTGCTCTATTGAAGCTGCTATTTATTGTTCTGATTTGCGCCACTGGCAGCGGGCTGCATCTCCTCAGGACATGTAAAAGGACTTTGTCTTGAAAAGTGGCATCACCTCTGTTTGTATATGGTAATTTATCCATCTGTGGGTCTGCCAGTCAGGAGACCCATTCTGGCAGCTTGTGAAGTGCTAGGTAGCCCATGCAGACATCTGGTGACTGCATCATACATCCTTGTAGTACCGATTCGTGAAATAAGTGATGATAGTCATGTACATCACTGAATATGTTGGGACCAGCAGCCTCATCCCAAAGCTGGTCTTCAGGGAAGAGATTCCTGAGCTGCTTCCACAAATTTTTGGTGTTTATACTGCAGACTTCTGTGTGGAAGTGAGTTAAATAAGGAAAGCTCTTCACATCTTGCTTGGGACGAGTGGCTCAGCAGAGAGGCTGCGATGTATCTAGTTGAGTATATGCTTGACAGGGCTCTGAGCTACAATGGGAGATGGGAAGTGGCAGGGAGGAGGCATAGGGGAGTCAGCCTGCTGGAGGAACATCTGCTGCTGCTTTCCCCATGTGCTTTGCAGGGGTAAATTCTGAGGCTTTCCAAGTTTATAGTCAGGAAAAGGGATTTTTGAGGTCTACTGCAGTTCTCTGTGTTCTGATGGTACTCTACTTGTGGCAAGCTTGGCAGGAATTTGCTTTGACAACAGGTGTATTTACAGGAGCCACTGAGGAGTTTTGATTTGCCTAAGGAAAATCTACCTTCCAGATGCCTGTGTGGTCTTTCCTGGCTGGTCTGAGATCAGATTCATTGCTGTGATAATTTAGAAGTCCCTCAGTTCTTCCTTTTGCTATGAATATTTCCTCCCATGCTGACCTGGTCTCCATAGCCAGTCATAAATGTGAATTTTGGCTAGGTGATTGGAATGAATGCCAGGAAAGGCTGTTGGAACACATCTGTCTGCTGTACCTGTGTTTTCTTAACCTGCTCGGGACCTTGGAACAGAAGATAATGCTTATGCTCCCTAGAAAGGGTAAAAGCAATTCAGATTAATAAAGGAAAACATAGCAGCAAGCCAGGTCTACCTCCAAAGCTTTTGATGTTTTAGAACTTGGCTTATTTTAATGGTACCTGGTAATAAAAGCCTTGGTTTGTGCAGTTATGCCAGTAAAAACCTACATTTTGTCAGTTCAGCTCATTTTGTGGAAGGACCTGGCATGGATTTTCTAATGACAGTCTGAGCTCTGCTTGGTGCATTTTGACAGTAAGCTGAGCAACTTAGTGAAGCAGCAGTGTTGAACTGCACTGAACTCAAGCCTGTGGGCAAACAGCAACCTGAGATCTTTTTTTCTTGATGCACTTAGAAATGTGTGCTGTCCCAAGAGCAGTGTGTGCATAGTACTTGCTACTCTTCACTCTTGCTGGTAGCTACTAAGCATCAATCAGTCTCCTTAAGCTGTAAAGATTAATACATGGCTATTACAACAGACAAAACTTCTTCACATCCAGCATGCACCAGCCAAAAATGATGCATATTAGTTTACATTTTGCATACTTCAGATACCGTGGAAATTAAGAACTGCATTTATCTTCTAAAATGATAGGTAATTTCCAACAGAATAATTGCAGGTGAAGGTCTTGGCTTATCTCCTGTGAGGATCCCATCAGAATGTGGACGTGGATGTTTTGAGAATAACTATCTGCACTGTAATGACAGCAGTGAAAGGTCAGGCAGTCTGCAAGCTGTTTGCTCTTGTGGCTCCTGCTTTGCTGAGTTCGTGCAGTGTTTAGTACAGTAGGTTTGATGCATGACTGGAGCTCTCTTACTACCTCTACTAATAATCTCAGATTTCTATTCTTTGTAAAAAGGTCTATTTTTAGTAAGTTATCTGCTGAATTAATGAGACATGGTATTTTGCAAAGTAACATCCTGTTCTCATGTGTCTATACTGGGAGAAAACTGCCTTCAGCTAAGGTAGTAAAAGTAGGTATAGCATTTTCTCCATATTCTTCTTTTTTAGTTTATTTGTAACTTCAAGTTTTTTTTTGTTTGTTTGTTTTTGTTTTTGTTTTCCCCTCTACTGTAATTCCTTCCATCTAGAGGTTTTCCTCTAGAGAGGAAGATAAACTCAGGAACCTCCTAGTCAGTAATAATGACCAGCACCACGATGACTTTGCAAAAACACTCTTTGGTATAATGCAGTAAAACTATGTTACCTGGCTCTGGACTTCTTTGGTAAATAACTCATGGGATATGTATTTTTCTTGTCCATTAGATACACAGTTGGATCAGTACAAGAGAACAACGACCAAGTATGGAAGTTCCAGCGGTACTTTTTGGTCCAGGAATACTGCAGTCGCTTGACAATCCCCTTCCCTTTTGTCATCTTTGCCTATATCTTCATGGTGATGAGGAAATTTTTTAAATGCTGCTGTAAGAACGAGAGTAAAGAGCTGTGTCTTTGCTGTGAGTAGGATTATTTTTCATTGTTTAAGAATGGATTCTGTGACAAGGGCATTACAGCTCTTCCATGACATGCTGTACTCAGACCAGGCAGTTAGTGTTTGGGGATGGGACTGGATTGGAAGGGCGATGTAGAACCTGGAGGAAGTGGTGGTGGTGGTGGAAATGAGCAGCAGCTCAAATGCAAAAGCAGTGTTGCTTGAAACCTTTCTGAGTTTCACATTTAAGCCTCTGACCGTTTTTCAGACATAATCTCCTTTGAGTACTCAAAGTTGCACTCTCTCTGGGACATGGGGAGTTATACCGCTAACTTCTTTTGTTAAGCTTTCAATTGAGCATTAAAATTGCTGCTTTTGTTATGGGGTTTTTGTCTTTTTTATTGTTTAACTTTTCTGCTTTAAGTGGCTTTGGATTTGCTCTGGTTAGGCAGTTTTTGTGTGCTACCATGAGACCTGCTGCACTTCAGTAATATGCAGAATCATGCAGGGCTTTCTTTGCCCAAGCAATTTCAAAGTGTAATTAGCTCATGTATGTAAATGACTTGTCTTAAAATTAATCCCGTCTGTTTAGAGGTGCCTGTGCTACTTTCTACCTTTAAAAGCTTTTTATATTAGACCAGCTCTGCTCCAAGTTACCCAAACACACAGAGCATGCAAGATCAAGGATTTCTTGACGCTTGGGAACTGTGCAGGAGGGCATACTACTCAGATGCTGATGAGAATTGAAATGCGATGTTTTGCACTTTCCATGCAAACCATGAAGATGACTTTGAGCTGCTGTGGGTTTGGCATGAATTTATTCAGTGCCCTAATTCTCTGCTTGCCACTGTAGCTTTTGGAATTGCGATTCTATTTTCTCCTTTTACAGTTTTCCAGCTAATGAAGCTCATTGCTGCCAGGGCAGCCTGATAGAGTGCAAACTACTTCAGAGACTCTTCTGATTGAAGGAGAAAGAGTCCTCTGCCCCTAGGGGCATAGCCAAATAAGCAAACTGTGTTAGGAAACCATCCTTAAAAATGCAAGAGTGGCTGAGTCAGTCCCATAGCTATCTTCCATTTATTTACTCTGTCAGAGAGTACAGATATGAATTGCTTTAACATGTTTGTGGGTGTGGTTTTTTTTTTTTTTTTTTTTTTTTTAACCCTCTGATGGAGTGTTTTCTCTGGAATAGTCTTTTGTTGCTGTTTAAGTACCATTCATGGCAGATGAGAGAGAGTAAGTTAATAGACTTGTTCCCATCTATCAGTGAACTGTTGCCCTGCAACACTGACTGGATGTGTTATTAGTTCAGAAGACACTTGTTTTGGAGTATAAAGTTTCTTAGCACTAACAAAGCTATTCTGGTTTTCTGAGGCAGGGTTTAATATTCTATTTGCTGAGCTGGTCTAATTGCAAGTATTTCTTCCTAAGTGGTGCCTGGTGATCTTGTTCTGAAAACAAAGGAAGGAATTAAAATCTTCCGATTTCTTTCTGATATCATTGAGACTGTGATGATGAAGAGAATTGAGATCTGGATGGAGGAAGCAGCACTAATATGTTAATGTGGCAGAGCAATGTGCTGTTTGAAATGTCAAGTTATTGAGCCCAGAGGAAGTGCTGGAGATCTTTTCTGTGCTTGTGGTGTTATTCCTCATTGTGCTGCCCAAGTTTCCTTCCTGCTTTTACAGCTTTTAAGCTAACACTTCTTCTGCCTGTAGTGTGACAGACAGACAGACACAGGCCTAAACATCTGAAATCTAATCGGTTATGGAGATCTAATCTCTGAGATGTGATCAGTCTCTGGAGCCCGACCTCTCGGTGGATCTGTGCTGTCCTGTGAGAACAGGATGGAGTGTAGAAGCGGCTTCCCGGGGCACTTTGATACCTCAAAGCAAGTCTTGCCCTATGGCTCTTTAACATCAACAGGAGATGCTTTCTAGAAAAGAAAATGCTTTGAAATGTTTTAGTTCAATGATAAGTGATACAAAGTGGCTTCTAATAAATGTTACTCTTAATGACCCGACCTGTGGTAATGTTGAAATAATTAGTTTATGTAAAATTCAAATCCACAGGAATGCTTCAGTTCTGTCAATAGTTGCCATTTTAGAAAGCAGTTAATCAAAACTCAAAAATCAGTCTTCTGAGTTTGAGAGATGTTTATCTATTTTTCTTACCAATTTATTTGATCAGGAGTATGCAGCAAAATGTGTTAATGTCATGTATATCAGAGCTCTGTTACAGCTGGGAAGCAGGGTTGCAAACACTTTGTAAGCGGAGAATGGAATCATTAGTCTCTGCAAATGCAAGCACTATGCCAGCTTCTTCACATCTCCACACTGGAGAGAAAAAAATAAGTTAATCTAGTGTGATTTTTATCATTTTCTAGGTTTAAGAAATGAGGACAATGAAACTCTGTCATGGGAAGCTGTCATGAAAGAGAATTACCTTGTCAAAGTCAATACTAAAGCAAACGATTCATCAGAAGAGTATGTCTGCCCTTTATTATCTTTACTCTTTTAACCTTCTGTCAAGTATTTTTTAATAAAAGCAAGTTTACAGTAGCTTTAAATGTTCATAAACTAACGAGCACTTAAACTTCAACCTTAAATGTGCCTGTTTTGTTTGAATTGAACAGTTTTTATCAGCTGCTATAGCATGGCTTCAGAAATAGTTCTTTGGGCTGGCTAATGATGATAGTGCAGGTTTATAATGGCATATTATACAAACAGCATCTGGGTACATGTGCTAAGCACACTTGATGCAAAACTTGCAATATTTCTCAGATAACTTTGTATTTAAACTTCTTCACAGTTTGTTCAGGAGAGGCTATATTCGTGTTGTACTTTAATTATTTCATGGTGGAAAGCCAGTTCCACACGAGAGCCTTTTGAAGTTATACAATTAGCGGAGACAAATCAAAATGTGGTCTGAAAAATCAAGGATTCCACCAGTATCAATGCGTATGCAGATCTCTACTTGGCATGAGCAGGAAAGACTTCTGGAGATGGGGAAAATACTATTCAGAAAGATGAGATTTGAAGATTTAGTGACTTGGACTGCTGTCACATTGCAACACTTTGGTTCCAGTGTTTCCAGAGCAGTAGTTTAAAAGTGAAGAGAAATACTAAAAATCTATAATAACCTGTCTAGTGGTTGTTGCATTTGATGGTGTCATTTTGTTGATAGCTCCCAGCAGCTTAGAAATTTCCTTAAATCAGCTGTAATGGAAGAACTGATAAAGCTGAGTCAGAAGGACCAGAATCTTCTAGGGTGCCTACTGTGACCATTGCTGTCTTTAAGTGTTTTTAAGACTGCCCAGAGGCACTTAACATTGGATAACAAACTGAACAAATCAGAGGAGGGGGAAAAAAAAATAAAGAGAGAGAGAAGTTCCATTTTGGAAGCAGAAGGGTTTTTTACAGGGGAAATTGGAAAAGTGCAGTACTAACAGTAGTTTTTATATTAGCTTATGATAATTGTAATAAAACCAAGCCACTCGCCTTCTTGAAAAGATGAAGCTATGGTACTGGGAGCAGGGATGTCTGCAGTAAACCTACTTTGCAAGGAACCTCTGACTACATGCAATGAACACTACTCTGCAGGTGCCTTAACTCCACTTTTTGGTAAAAGATGAAGAGTGGATGGGCTTACTCAGGTGATACTTCTGTAATGCACTCCTGCATAGTTTTGCAGAGGGAGAGTGGTCAAGTGTAGCTTCTTTAATGCACAGACTTAGTCCTTTTCTGTGTCGTCCTTCTGTTTTCAGGATGGTGCATCGCTTCAGACAACTGGATGCAAAGGTATTTGTATTTTAGACTGCTCTAGGGGATGGGTCTGTGTGGGGAAAACAGGTAGCAATGTACACAAACCTGAGTATCACTGGGAGCTGTTTGCAATTGTCATCGTCATCAAGATCCAGTTTTCACGGGGACTTGTTAGCATGTTCTTTTGCACTTTTAGTTCACCTCTGGATGCTGCTGCTGTGGATGATGGGGATGGTCTTTTAAAGTCACATCCACCTGCTGCTGCTTCTGTGACTGCCTCTGCACTGCTCTGTCTGGACTTTGAGGGCAGCAGCTCTGTGGGTCAGCATTAGAAACAGCTTGTCCAGTTAATACCGCCTAATTCTAAATTTGTGTACAAGCATGTGATTTCTCTGAAGCATCTTAGTCTTTAGTGTGACTTCCCAGGGCAATAAGATCTTGCTCTCCCTGTAGTACAAAATTAAAACTTCTCCTTGGCTTTGCACTGTTGTACATGTATAAAGTAGGTGTTAAAGGAAGCAAATATTAAAAAACACCCATTTATGGTAGACTGGCTCTACACTTACTCCACTGAACTGAAATCTGCTTTGTAGGAGCAAAAGGAGATAGAACATAGTTCAGAGCTTGTAGCTGTCACAATGCCTGCTCGTTAGCTATATGAAATATGTATGCGTTAGGACTTGCCGTATTAATTACTGCTGAAAGCTGTCACGGGGGATGTCCTTTCAAATATTGTCATATTTGGGATAATATTTAGTGGAGCAATTATTATTTTTGTTATTCAGATAGCTTTCCTTAGAAAAGCAGTATTAACACTGCTTCATTGCCACCACAGTGTGATTACTGCACATGAAAAGCAGTTAAGCTATTGCTTCCTGACTAATGACTGGTGTTCACAGGGTATCCCAGAAAGCACGGTTCAGCTTAATGATTGTTTGCCAGTCCTTGCTGATGTTGTATAGATGCTTTAGGGTGTTTTAAGGTTCTTACTACTGCTTACTGCTTCTGTTCTTTTCCTTTCACCACATTCTCTGCTGCAATCATCTGTTGGAATGAGTTAGATTTAGTTTATGTATACAAATCTTCTTTCTTTATGCTTATAAGATCTGTGATTTGAAAAGCCTTCTGAAAGAGATTGCCGGCAAAATGAAATGAATGCAACTGAAACCTAAGAGCAACTACCTGAGCAGGGTAAGCCCTTTTTAAATCTGTTATCTGACCTGAGTGAGCCGCATCTTCAATATTAAACTGCTATGGCACTGGAGGAAAAGTTAATTAGTGCTTGTATTGACGTTTTCTAATATCAGACAAGAAATAAAAGAACTAATTTCTCTCTTGCTTGTTTTTCGTTTTGTCTTTTTTCTCTAAAAATAATTTCCAGCTGGTGTGCTTAATAATTTTTGGCAGGGCTTAAAATATCCTATTTTGCTCCCTTGCCTTTGCAAAGCTGTGAATGACCCAAAGTTATTTTAGCTGTCTTTGTGCTGGAGGCCCTCTGGAAGTTAGGAGCTGCTGTGCTGGATTCATTGGAGTTGGTTCTTTTTAACTCTGAATATCATTTAGAGGAAAAAAAAAAAAAGCCTAAATAGAAAAGAGACTTGAGGGTAAGAGCAAGTTTTTTTTATTTTTCCATTGTCAAGATGGGGTGTTATGGTAGATCACTATAGCTGTTCTGTGTCATCTAGGATAAAGTGTAGAGTGAAATGGACCTCAAATCTCCTGAGCTGCAGTGCAGGGTTTGGTCATGAGCTGCATGCCCTTTTCATCAACATTGATCTTGAGCCATGATCCCTAATGTGAAGTGAAAGCCAAGCATAATATTGCTGTGTGCAGTGAACTCTTGTCTTTTGTTAAGGACATCAGGATAAGAAGGATGGCTGCTGAGAAGGAAGGATTAGATGGTGGGATTTAATCAGCTTGAGCCTGGCTCCTTCTTCCTTCAAAGTTTTTCTATGTCTGTAAGATAGCTCCTGCCTGTGCCAAACGTTGGTACACTTTCTTTTCAGAGATGATCTCATATGCAATGAGGTCCAGTTCAGTTATGAGCTTGAGCCCCCTAATAAAAGTTGCAAGGATTATTAGATACTGCGCATTTTCTTGGTTGCAGTAAATTTCTAATCACCTGGAGCTCAGGCCACCAAACTGCAGAGTAATTGAAGTTGGAAGTGGAGGAAGTAGATATTGGAAATCATCTAGCTCGACCCCTGCTCCAAGCTTGGCCAGCTTTTAGGTAAGAGGTAGCTTGCTGTTTGGTTTGGTTGCAATTCAATAAGAATGAGCAAAAATTTTGCATTTGCCAAAGAATCAATAGGTATGGAAGAGCCAAATGGAAGAACCTATGTAAGAATCAAGTCTTATGAGGCAGCAGCTGTGCAGAAGAGTGTCTGAGGACTGTAGCTCCTCTGAAATGGAATATAAATAACTGGTGTTTTGTCTGAGAAGTATGAAGTAGTACTCTTTAGTGCATGATGAATTGTCAGTTGGATACAACATCAAGGAAGATGCAGAGTGACTGAGAAGTGTTTGGAACAGTAACGAGCCATTGGGAGTCTTGAAAATAATTTGTAGAAAGAAGTGACTCAATTAGCCTGGGAAAGAAGAACTGAGAGGAAAGCAGTGGTTTTCAGACAGCCTGTAGAATGGCAGAATAACTGAGGTTGGAAGGGACCTCTTGACCCCTTCTAGACTGGGAGCACATGTTCAAGGCCTAGTTCACAGCAAAGGCAGTTTTGAGTTGGGTAATGGGAAATGTTTGTGACCAGTAACGGTAATGAAACACTGAAGCAGCTTGTATGAGAAGTCTTTGAAATCCTGTTCGACTAACTTATCTTCAGTGTTACGGGTACATTTGATCCTGTGTTGGTGTAGGCAGATGTGAGAGCACCTGTGGACTTTGGAGGCCTTCTCCAGCTCTTTGTTCATGCTGGACTTTGCAGAAAAGCCCTCTTGTTTTACTCTGTGTTGTAGACCAATCAGTGGCTTGATAAGATGGAGTCCCTTTTCAGTCTATGCCTGGTAAAACTGTGCTGAATCCTGGTAGATGTTGTGACCAAACTGTCTTTCATCTGAGCTGTGTGGGCTCTGAAGCTGATATCCGGTGATTCAACAGTGCTAGGGTAGTAGTATAGAGGGGCTGGTGTCTCACAAGAAGTTAACGTGTCTTATGGTATCTAATTTGAAAGGAAGCACTTATCTGCCCTGTCTTCAATGTGCAATGTTGGATTGGCCCTTCCAGGCACTTTGCTTTGAACCTGTTGTTTTTGCTTGCATGTTCTGACAACTAATAGCACTGCTACCCTGCTAATGCAAGGAGATGTTTGATGGCTGCAGCAAATAGCTACTCGAACCCAGATATTGCATGGGCCCTCTAAGTTTCAAAGTGGACATATGGAGGAGAAAAGCAAGTTGTGGAGCTGGGTTGGGAGCTCAACTCTAAATATTTGTCCTTTGCTCACACAGGTACTGATACACGAAGAATCATTTCTCAGAGCTGACAGTAACCACAACTGATCCAGCACAGTATTGGTGTCCAACCATGAGTTACTCAAATGTTTTTATTTATTTATTGATCTTATGAGAAAACAATTCTTTCTGCTTGTTGTATGAAGATGGTAAAACACTAAGGGGATGATATCTCATTTGATAGAACTCCAAATTACCAAGCCCTCCTTTTTTCTTCTTTTCTTCTGATGATTGCTGTCAGCAGGTAGTCCTTGTCAGCTGCTGTTAAAATGCATTCTTAATTCCAAGAATGCTGCTGTTCCTGTAAAAAGCATTTTGCTTCTTAATTTCCATCAAATGAGTCTGTTCATGGGTTTCTTCTAGCTACTAACTGCTTGTCTTAATGAATTTCCCTCCCTCACTCCTTATATAATAGCCAGATCTAGCCTGCTACCTGCATAGTCTGTCTGTAAGAGCTCCTGAAGTCTGAGGTGCTGGCATGCCAGGATGCAAGGGATTGCTGCATCGTGCCCTGGGCAGAATGGGGCCGTTGGTCCCGCCACGTGCCCACCGTTTGGACTCCGGAGTGGACAGTGTGGACTGTGCCCAGAACCGCGCAGCAGTGCGGGAGCTCCACGGCTACAACCCTGCGTGGCTGGCAGAGGGAACAGGATGAGATGTGATTCATGCAGGAGCAGCTTCCAAAGGGTTTCTGTGCAATCCCTGGTTGTTTCTGTAGTGCTAACTTGTATGCTTGGAGTATTGCGGTTTATTTTACTTTTTCAAACATACATGAGTTGTTTGTGTTATGGTTCTCAAATAGAGAAGAGATTGTTGGCTCTTAAAACTTTGATACTTGTTACAGTTAGGCTGCTTTTTCCTGTGTGGGTTTTTCTGCTGCTGTTTTGTTTTATTCTCTAAAGTAGCAGTTGCATCTTGTGGCAGATTGTGTGGTGTAAACTAATTACATTACCAGCTGAAGAAAAGTCACTCAACTGGTATTCATTTCCATTGCAAACATCATATTTGTCTTCATCCCCAGTGACTAAGCTTGGTCTTCCACTCTGTTTGATTTTGAATGCTTAGGTATTTCCCTTTGGCTGGCAAGGATAAGCTTAGTCTGAGGGTTGTCAGGTAGAATGTATACGTGCTTAAAATGGCCATGCGAGTTCCCTAACTGCCTAGCTGGATAGATGGAGGGGGAATTTCTATGGTAGCTTAATCGGTTAACGCTGCCCAGGTGAGTCAGCATGAGCAGTGCGAACAAAGCCAGCTTCTTCCTGGCTAGAAACCAAAGCCTGTGTGCAAGCTGCTTCTGTGCACGCAGTGTCCTCCAGCCCCTGTGTGCTGGCAAAACGTGTTGCTCCAAAGGGGTGAAGACATTTTTATATGCTTTAATGTCCTGGCAATTGCTTAAGTTCGGGGATGTGAAGCACTAATGTAAGTGGAGAACATTTCTACTGGGGATACAGCTGACCGATCTGGTCATTTGCTGTTAGAGAGGAGGCCAATATATGCATGGGGTCTGTAGGGTGACCCCTTTTGCTTACACATCCAGAATATACGCAAGATTTATCTTCTCTGTTTACTCAAGCTGATGCTGTGCTCATATTTTTAGTTAAACTGTGTGGTTTTATGAGGGTGAGGGAGAAGGGTTTTGTCTGCTTCACATTACCCAGTTTAACTGTATGCAGTGCATTATATGATCCTGGGCTGTACAGTGCTCCCGCTAGCAGTGTAACTCATTGGTATATGAAAAGATCTCCAAATTTCCCCCATTGAAAAGATTATGAAGGCTTCTCACTCATTGACTTCCTTAGCAGCTGGCTTGCATCATGATTAAGATAAGCTTCCTTTCTAGAAGTGAATCTTCCTATGTCATTTGCCTGCTTTTAATGTGCAAAGTGTGCTTTTGCTCTATTTCTTTCATATATGAAACCTGTAATATTTTTGCCAGCAGCTGTAGTAATCCATTGTACTGTTATGGATGTAGCTTTGAGCCATGTTGTGAAAAGTCAAAAGCATTCTTATGGTTGTATTTACAGTTTAAAACAATAAAACTACTTTGGCTTCTTGCTTTCTCTTTTTCTGCTCTCTTTCTGCTACATCTGTGACAATTATGATACTTCTATACTTACAGAAGTTGTTATTACAGTGAGCTTTGTTACTGACAGAGCTACTGTGCAAATGAGCAGGCTTTCTGTTATATCCATGGCAGTTGTGTTAGTCCATCAACTACTCAGAGGATTCTTGAATAATTGAAAAGTCACTTAGCAGAAGTCACTTTAATATCAAGAAATGTCTCTGTAGGGATATAACTAAACTTTAAGAGTATTACTTCCTGATGAGGCTTTCTGAAAAGTTAAGTAATCTGTAGAGCAGATTTATCTGTTTGATAGGAAACTTCATATTTGCAAGACATGCCAGTCAAGTTGAAGTAGAAAGGAGCCTAAAATGTAAAAGTCCAGCCCTTAGAGCTGTGGCTAATCTAAAGTAAAGTAGAAAAAAAAAAAAAAAAAAGGAAATGAGCTTTTTAATCTTGTGCAGGGATGTGCCTTGCAATAAGAGCTAAAAATTACCCAGGGCTCCCCTAATAAGGCCAGAGGAAACAAACGTGATGCTTTTGGGTGTCTAGATATTGGTGCTGCTTTGAATGGCTGGTGTTTTTGATAGAACCAACAATTCTTCACTACTGCAGAAAAAAGTGGTGCCCT